CTTGCGGTCACGCCCCCCGGCTTAGCCAATTGTAGCCGGCCTTGCTACAGAGTGCCGTCAGCCTCGCGGCCTGCTGGAATCCGAGCGAGGTGGTGACCAGAGCCAGGTCAGTGGCGTTTTGGGGTACAGGCGGGGGTCGGGCCCTCCTGCTCAGGTCGATCGCCCGGTCCGGGGCTCTCCCGACCCGGCGTGCGGTCCCGGGGCTGGGGCGCCGTGTCTGGCGTTCTCCCACTGGGGCAGTCCCCAGAGGGGTTCTGCCACGAGGAGCTTGGGCGTCCCGTGGCCCGAGGTCCTCTCCACCCTGAGGAGCCGAGGGTGTTCCCAGGGTCTCGGGGCCTACACGGTAGGGTGCTGTCCGGGGGGCGTAGGGTCCGGGTTCCGCTCGGCCCGCGCCCCGCCCGGGCGCTCCTGCAGGTCGGACCTCCGAAGCGCCCTTTCCCGCAGGTGCGGCATGGGCTTCCTGACCGCGGCGACTCGAGTCCTGGTCCGGGGAGCAGACCGGATGAGCAAGTGGACGAGCAAGCGAGGGCCGCGCACCTTTTCCAAGGGCCGCGGCGCCAAGGGCACCGGGGTGCGGGCCTCAGGTTGGAAGTTTGTACAGATAAAGGAAATGGTCCCCGAGTTCGTCGTCCCCGACTTGACAGGCTTTAAACTCAAGCCCTACGTAAACTACCGTGCTCCAGCGGGCGCGGAGACGCCCCTGACTGCCAAAGAGCTCTTTCTGAAAGCGGTCGCACCTGCTATTGAAAAGGACTTCAGAGATGGAACTTTCGACCCTAACAATCTAGAAAAGTACGGCTTTGAGCCCACTCAGGAGGGCAAGCTCTTCCAGCTGTACCCCAAGAACTTCCCTCGATAGGAGGCAGAGCCGTGAGCGGGAGCGTCGGGACTGGGAGGTGCAGCTTTCTATTAAAGGCCTGTCTTCTGTGTCAGGTGTCACAGGTGATGTGACAGGCTAAGCTTGACAGATTTGTGCCCCATGACCAGGCAGTCTCACATCCACACCCCACTCAATGGGAGTCCCCCAGAGCTCCCAGAGTGCACTTACAAGGCAGATGCACTGGGCCGCCCTGCTTAACCCATTCCCAAAATGAACACACTTTTTTGCCAGTGAGCTTGTGGGCTCAGCAGGGCAAGAACCCCCAGTGGGGTGTGGCCATGGCACAATTCCTTCTCTATTCTTACATGCTGTCATGATTTTGGGGCATGCACTTCCAGGGCCAGAGCAATGAGCAGGTGTGTTCTTGGGTTCAGGCAACTGGTGTTGGGTGCAAATAACTGTCCCTATTGGGACATACCTGAAGATGATGCCACACAGGAGTCATTCCTCCAAGCAAGGGTTTCTCCCATGACCAGTCTTGCCCAATTTGCTGTTTCAGAGGCCCCAGAGTATATTCTTTTTTTGGTGAGAGGTTTTTGGTATAGGGCACACGTGCTCACCAGTTGGAAAATGAGAAATCCCCCAGGGGGATGGCCACTCTGCAATCGCTTCTCTTCCATTCTCCTCTTGGGATCTTGGGCACGCATGCACATGTACCCAGTGTGTGTAAGGCGCCAGGTCTGGGACTTGAACCAGGGTTAGCTACATGGGAGGCCAGTGACATAGCCATTATGCCAACTGCTGGTCCCAATTCTATTGGACATTTAATTGACCCCTCATGTCCTTACCACAGGACTGGCCCATGACCTGGTGGTTGTGGGCGACATACCCCATATGGCCAACTGCACAATTCAGGTCCTGGCTTTGGAAACACCACTTGTGTGGTGCACACCCCAAATCCCAACAGGATGGGGAACTGGAAAAGGGGCTGCAGTGTGACCAGGCCTACGCGAGGGCGCCTTCTTCATTTCCCTCTGGTGAACCTAACACCAACAAAACCCAAAAAGCTTTAAGTCAGTCAGCCTGTTTCTGTCAAAGCAGGCTCTTGGCTGGGGACTGTTCGCTTCAGCGTAGAAGTGTTAACTTGACCTGTGCAGGTGCATTGCATCATCAAAAAATAAGCAGTGGGGCCAGCAGGGGGCTTTGACCAGAAAGAAAGAAAATGAGAAAGCAAGTTACCAGGTCTGGGACTCGAACTGTGGTCAACCATGTGGGAGTGTCCAGCCCCTGAACCACACCACCTACTGGTCCCCCAAATATATTTTTTTCTTTTGGAGAGGTTTCTTTTGCTATAGGGCATGAGTGCTTGCCAGAAAGAGAGACAGACAGAGAAAGTGAGAAATCTCCCGAGGGGGATGGTCATGCCGCAATCCCTTCTCCATTCTCCTCTAGGGATCTTGGGCACACATGCACATGCACCCAGCATGTGTTTAAGCCACTGGGTCTGGGACTTGAACCACGGTCAACTACATGGGAGTTCAGCGACATAGCCATTTCACTAACTGCTGGTTTACCCCAAATGAATCTTTAAAAAAAAAGGGGGTGGGTGGGGCCAGCAGGTGGCGTGATGGTTAAGGGCACTGGACTCCACATGGCCAACCATGGTTTGCGTCCCAGATCCAGGGCTTGCTTGCCCCCCCCCCCCAGAGGTTTTTGCTATGGGTGTGTGTACTCACCAGAAAGATGGAAAGCAAGAAATCACTACCCCGCCCTGGGGGGATAGCCACACTGCAATCCCTTCTCCTTTTGAGATCTTGGGCACACACATCCGGGCCACTAGGTCAGGGACTCAAACCAGGGTCGATTACATGGGAGTCCAGCGACACAGCCATTATGCCAACTGCTGGTCCCATGGGGCTTACTGTCTTACGTTCCCTTTTTCTCTCTGGTCAAATTTTAAAAATAATTAGGTAGGTAAATAAAGCTAAATGATTAAAAAAAAAAAAACAACAAAAAAATGGATAGAACTGCATATCCTCTGCTTCCTACTACATCACCAGAAAGGGCTGAGGGTGTGACATTCAGTGGTGGCTGTCAACCACACCTCTCATCAGGCCTGCCCACTGGCCTAGGAGCAGGCGCAGTGATGCTGCTCAGTCCGTTGCTCGAGCTGGCGATGCTGTGCCCCCTCAGTTGGTTCCTGTTACCTGTCCTGGGTCTGGCACTAACTGGGTTGTTAATGCCAGAGGAGGGGGCACCTAGAGCCCACCCGCACTGGTGCCCTTCCCATCACTGTCCACTGAAATGACTTCTGAAGTTAAAAAGTAACTTTCTTTGCCAAAAAACCTCACAAGGAACTAGCAGGTGGCATAATGGCTACATCACTGGGCTCCCACATGGCTAGTTCATGTCCTGGACCCGGTGGCTTCAAACAGGCCAGGCACGTGTGTGTATGTACCCAAGATCCTGAGGCTGGAAAAGAGACTGCGTCGTGGCAGTCCCCCGGGGGGTGATTTCTTGCTTTGTGTCCTCAGCCAGAGCACATACCCTATGGGAAAATCATAAAAAGCAAAACCACCCAAATTCCACTCAGCACAGTTCCTCTAACACATGGGAGGGCTCGTCTCAGAATGCAAGGCTGACGCTGGGAGCTGGGGATTGGCCTATCCTGGTTACTGCCAGCTCTCCGCAGCCTGTGAAGGTTTATTCAAGACATGGACAGCGCTCTGCCCATCCTCAGTGCAGGCCCCCGCACCCACGAGGCTACTGGTAGAGTTGGATGGCTCACAGCCCCCACCTCCAGCAGTGGAGAGTGTGGTCGTAGAAGGAGCAGGTGGCCAGCAGGCCAGTGTTGAAGTTCGCGCCTTCCATGGGGACGTCACTGTCATGGGCTGCGGTGACCTGGTATACCCAGTCCTTTGCGTCCTCTGCTCCAGGCAGCGTGAGTCCACACTGGGCTTTGGCACGGCCCTCTGTGTCGCCATCTGCTAAGCATGCGAGAGGGGGCCCTGGGGCTTGGCCTGTGGGCTTCAGGCTGTAACCCTGCTCCAACGGCCTGGCTCCTGGGTCGCTGTGAAGCATGGAGGGGGCTGGCTGCAGGGGGCAAGAGAGCCAGCACCAGTCGGCCCCGTACACCAGCGAATTGGGCAGCTCCTGGGACATCAAGACCGTCATTTCCTGCTTGTCTGTGGGGACACAACACAGGTGACATCACCAAGGGAACAGCTCAGCCTCAATCTTCCCCTCAAGGAGACGCCACAGGCAGCCCCCGAGGTGCGCAGTAGTGCAGAGACCCATTCGGGAAGAAAATGCTTTTGCAGCCCACAAGCTGCAGTGAGGGACCTTCCCAGCCAGAGGCCTTCAGGAAGAGGCCACAGGGGGCACTTGGAGGGAGGAGTCAGCCAGAGGGGGTGGGTGCCCAGGGCAGGGGTCAGGAACCCAAACACACGGCTCTGGCTTTTGGGCAGTATGGCTGAGGGCCCTGCGGCAGTCTGGGCCTGGAAAGAGGTCCTTGCTGGGCTAAGCCTAAGCAGTTCCCCAGTGGTGACTGTCAGGGCAGCTCAGCACAGAGGGGGCGGCCCTGGGCAGTGTGCAGTAAACAAGATGAGGCACTGGCCGGAGCGTGCTCTGGTCTCCAGCCGTGTTCGACATGTTACCACAGGCAGGACACTCACTGGGTGTCTGTACAGGGACCACAGGAGAGGGGGCAGCAGAGGAATGGTGACAGGAGGGCACTCCTGGCTGTTGGCCAGGACAGCTGTGTCAGGACTGAGCAGGGAGGACGGGGTAAGCAGCTGCCACAGGAGGGCAGAGGTGGGCCTACGGGCTGGAAGACCCAACAGTGACCAGACAGGTGGCTTCTTGTTGCTTCTGGGATATGGGAAGGAGAGTTCCTGAGCTGAGGAAGGAGGGGAGCAGTGTGCCAGGGCTCAAGACCAGGACGGCGCCCTAGTTGGGGCAACACCCGAGCGATGCCGTGCCTCAGGGCAGTCCTGGGACCTGCAGCACAGCCCCAAGCACACCCAATGCGAGACAGCCCTGGCTGCAGTGCAGAGCAGAGCTGGGTTTAACCAGTGCCTGGTCTGGCCCAGGGTGGTGGGCAGCGAGCCTAAGGAGCTTGTGGGCAAGAAGCACAGGGAGAGGCAGGCAGGGGCTGGGGGCGGGACGCTGCAGGCCGCTGGGCAGCGCCTGGACAGTGTGGGGAGGCCGCGAAGAGCAGAGTTCTGCAAACGGGTTTCAGAGTGGGTTGAGGAGGGGTTGCAGCATGCTCAGCCGGCGAGCTGGGAATAAGCCTCCTCACCTCCAGCCACCCTGCTCTGCAGGACCTTGAAGCCACCATGCATGCAGGCAGCCAGGAGCAGGTGGGGGTGGGATGGGTGCCATTTGAGCCTCCACACCCCGCCCTGCACGGCCACGTCCGCCAGTGGCTGCTGCAGGTTCCGCGTGTCCCACAGGAGGACGTGCTCGTCGTAGCTGGAATGAGCCCCAGTGTGTGGGTGTGCAAGGAGAATGCACACCTTGATCCCAGGTCCCCAGGTGTAGGGAGGCCACCCTACCCACCCCTTCCCCAAGCGCAGGTCCCTGTGCCGAGGCCATCATGAGGGTCACCACACCACAGGAAGTGAAGCAGAGGCCCTGCAGGGATGGGGACAAGGACTCACCTGCCAGTGGCCAGCAGGTGCTCCTGGTGGGGGCTGTTGTGGATGCTGCACACACCCATGGCGTGTCTGTGGGCGACAGGACACCTGGCCAATGCCTGGCAGAGGAGGGCCGGAGTGCCCACACCAAGCTCTGGCCAAGTGCCCGCAGTCATACCTCTTGCTGGTGAACACGGGCGTGCAGGGTGCCCTGGCATCCCAGCCTTTCAGGAGCCCATCGTCACCGCCTGCGGAGACAGAGAAACCCCTCAGCCTTGATGCTGTAACAGCAAAGGGCCACCTGCTTCCATGGGACATGCCCTGTGGTTTGAGGGCAGCCCAGGGACCAGCTGCCTCCAGGGTGGCGGGGGGGGAGTAAATCCAGGAGCCTCAGGGACCATACGTGCAGCTACCGCCACCAGGTCCGTTGGTAAATCGGCCTGTCAGGGTCCAGCAGCAGAAGTCCCAGCTGCCCAGAACGCCCTGTGGCTCTGCGCTGTGGCACCAGCACACGCCCCACCCAGAAGAGATGCCCTTTGTTCCCCCACTTGTTTCCCCAGGGCAGCGTCAGGAAAGAGCCAGGTGGGGGGCCGGAGGAACGCCAAGGCCCCTCTCCACCCCAGCCCCTGCACACTGCAAACACATGTGGGCCGGGGGCTGCCGAGAAATGAGTGAGTTGGTCTCTGGCTAGGGAGCCAGGGGTACTGTCTGACCCTGCAAGGTGCCTCCACGCGTGGGAGCTGCCATCGTGCACGCTCAGGGGAGCAGGCAGGTGCTTCTTTACACGTGCGTCCCCCCGCCGCCCACACCCTGAGAACCTAACTCGAACCCGTCCTCACCTCCACTGCTCCCCGCTGGCGAGTGTTCTCGTCCTGAGCTGAGTAACAGGTCTCCGGCCCTGCCCGCCCTCCCTGCAGTCTGGACACCACCCATGAGCCAGAGTCCTCTCGGATCTCTAAGGAACCCGCCAGGAGACCCGGCCACTCTGCTCAGCTCCGCTCCCTCCAGGAGCTCTCGCTTCGTTCCCATGAAGCACAAGTCCTTCCTGTGGCCTGCCAGCCTGGGGACCTCCGGTTCTGCTACCGACCTGACCTCTGTCACCCTGGCCATGCCGGTTGCCAGCCTCTTGGAGCACAGCGAGCCACACTGCCTACTCTGACAGGTACCTGTGCTGCGGGGTCCTTCCTGCAGACCCCAGTGCTGGCTCCCCGCTTGACCGAAGTGTGATGGACGAGAGGCCTGGCCGCCCTGCACGGATGCTCCCGTGGCCGACAGGGCCTGGCTGCAGCACACCTGGCCAACGCCGGGTGTTCAAGCTCACCCTGTCCCACAGCTGCCCACCTGCCACAATGAGCCCATCAGAGACCTCAGGACACCTAACAGCAATGGCTGTGAGACTGCTCAGGAAGTGACAGCGAATCACGGTGTGCCTGGGTCCCTGCCACCAGGGACGAGCGTGGAGCAGGGACCCTGCCGCCAGGGAGCTCCCCAAGCACCAGACAAGGGTGGGCAAGGTGGGTGTCCTTTGTCAGCTGTCCCAGACTCCAGGCTGACCATGCTAGGGCAGCAGAACTAACCCGTGAAGGGAATGTCTCAGGGCTGAACACTGAGACTGGACAACGGGCATCTGAAGAGGAGAAGGTAAAGAGAGAAGGGGAGTCTTGCAGAACAAGGCAGGGTAGACAGAGGGCCTGGGCGCGGCCAACCTTGCCAAGGTTTGGTGTTCACCTTGGAGAAACGGTAACTGTGAGGGTCCTGACACGGAGAGATGGCATGAAGTTCGCCTGCTTTTTGGTCTGGCATGTTCCCAAAGGTGTGTGTGCTCACTAGCCAGGGAGGGCTGTAGTGTGAGAGTGCGCCCTCAAGGGGGCGCCCTCGGACCCCTTCTGTCCGTCCGCCCTTCCCAGATTTTTTAGGCATTTTTGGTACAGGGTGTGTGCGCTCACTCGACAGAGAGACAGAAAGTGAGAAATCCCCCAATGGGTTGGCCACACCGCATTCCCTTCTCTGTTTTCAGGATCTTGGACACACATGGCCAGCATGAGTTTCAAGCCACCGGGTCCAGGACTCAACCGTGGCTGACTATGTGGGAGTTCAGTGACAGAAATATTATGTCCTCTGCTGGCCCCACCTTTCGAGATTTTGGACACACACGTCCAAGCCTCTGGGTCTGTGACAGCCACACAGCTGGTGGGGTCCAGCAGCCTTGAGCACCAGGCCAGTGGCTGGCTCTGAGGTCTGCATGTCTGACAGCGTCCTCTCTGTCTGTTGGGTAGGCTGGGCAGGGAACATGGGCATGAGGGCAGGGCCGCAGGGAGGACAGGGCTGGGTGGGGCCTTGTCAGCGACGTTTCTGAACAAGACCACGCTCTGCAGCAGGGACACGGGGGAGAAGGGATCTGGCTGGCTGGCCCGGAGGGGTTGAACGCATCCTGACAGGGGCACAAGGTGCCTGGGGAGACCCGGCAGGGCTGGTGGGCAGCTGGCAAGATGCGGCCCGAGCTCAGCAAGCCCGAGGAGGGGGATGAGACCACATGACAAGAGCTGCCCTGGCCTCTCTCCCAGGGCTTCAGCCCTCCACCCCATCAATGCGGTTTGGGCTCCGCCCCCACCTCCTCTCAGAGACCAGCCCCACCTGCCTCCAAGTTCCCTCTGCTGGGAAAGAGAAGCCACCCTTAGTCAGCTTCTTCCCGGGAGCCACAAGCTCTGCCCTTCACTCCCCCTGCACCAGCAGCCAGGGTCCAAACCACTTTCAAGACCGCATCTAACCCTGGCCCTTCTGTCCCTCTCCTGAAGGTAAGCAACGTCCAGACTCCGGCAGACAGGCCTGAGACCTAACGAGCCGAGGTCGATGGCGCACCCGCACCCGGTGAGAAGTGCAGAAAACAGATTCCAGAGCGCTTGGACAAGGCGTGGAGGCATGGGCCCCAGAACAGCAGGGAAGCAGGCTGGCTCCTCCCTCATCTAACCCTGGCCCTTCTGTCCCTCTCCTGAAGGTAAGCAACGTCCAGACTCCGGCAGACAGGCCTGAGACCTAACGAGCCGAGGTCGATGGCGCACCCGCACCCGGTGAGAAGTGCAGAAAACAGATTCCAGAGCGCTTGGACAAGGCGTGGAGGCATGGGCCCCAGAACAGCAGGGAAGCAGGCTGGCTCCTCCCTGACACCAGCAGTTTGCCACTAAGGCAAACTGCTCTCCGGGGCACGGCCGCGCAGTCACACCCACCACTGCACTCTCTGGGGCATGGCCGCTCAGTTGCACCCACCATGGCTGCTTTCCGGAGCCCACGGCC